GCTGAGCGGCAGGGTCGGCCTCGGTGGGCCCCGCGGCTGGGAGAGTTTCGGAGGTTATGCCGAATGCAGGGGCGATGCTTTCCGAGGGGTCAGCATCGACGCCTCCCTCCTGAAGCCCCTTTGCGTGGGTGTGGACCCCCAGGAGCACCGGGCTCGAGAGCAGGAGAGGGAGCAGATGAAGACCCTGAACAACCAGTTTGCCTGCTTCATTGACAAGGTGAGGTGGCGGGGGTGGGTGTGTGTGTGTGTGTTCGATATCTCTGTGAATAAAACCAAGCGCTTGGTACTTGGTGCCGTGTCTCTAATCCGGATTGGCCTCCAGATCCAAATTTCCTCAAGCTCAGGCCGTTGGGACACGAGCCACAGATTGTCCTTAGATTGGGGCCTACTCAAATCCCCTGCGGCCGTCAGTAGAAAGACTCCCGAAATCAGTGAACTGGAGTTGGATCATGCCTGGGGACAGAACCACTGGGGTACTTAGCTCTTTAGAAAGTCTCCTTCGCGTGAAGACTTTAAATCGGGGTGGGCAAGATATGCCGCCAAGCCTCCAGATCCGGCGCTGGGGCTGCCCCACTGGGACCCTCAGGCACAGAGCAGCCGGTTGCTTTAAGTGGCTGGCTGCTCCTGTGGCTCTCTGTTCTGGATGCTGGAGGGAGGAAGAGGCTTCACACCCCTAGCAAAATCTCTCAGCTTCTATTGGCTGGAACCCAGCCAATGGGAGCGGAGAGATTTTCCTGGGAGTGGGGCAGTGAGTGAAGTAGAGAGCCACAGGGAGCAGCCAGCTGTGAGCCGCCTGGGGCTGAGGTAGGCAGGGAGCCTGACTCAGGGTCCTATAGGGCTGATGGCTGCCTAGGTAAGCGCCTCCCAGCCAGAGCCTGCCTCTGGCACCCCAACCCTCTCCCCCCAATCCCTGCCCTAGCCCACCACTCCCTCCTGCCCCACATCACCACCCAAACCCTCCACCTCCTCCTACACCCTGCCCCATGCCAGAATCCTCTCCTGCACCTATACCGCCTTCTGAACAAGCAATCATGATTCTGGGAGGCATTAGCAGGCCTGTTGAGAGTAAGAAGTCATTTGTCAGCTTGACTCTGCACGGATTAGACCTCACCTGGGGTATTGTGTCCCGTTTCCATGCCTTATTAGTTTACAGTCGGCATTAGCCTATTTCTAAGTACATGGATGAAGAGGCACAGAAAAAAACCTTAAATTTATTTTCTCATCTTTTGTTGTTTACGTTGGACACCGAAAGTTATATTAATGTCACAGAATCATAAACTAGTAGAACCGGAAGAGACGCCGAGAGGCCATCAAGGCCGGTCCCCTGCTCTCACGGCAGGACCAAGCACCGTCTACATCATCCCTGACAGGTGTCTGTCCAACTTGCTCTTAGATATCTCCAGAGATGGAGATTCCACAACCCCCCTGGGCAATTTATTCCAGTGTTTAACCACCTGGACAGGTAGGAAGTTTTTCCTAATGTCCAGCCTAAAACCCCTATTGCTTCTTGTCCTGTCCTCAGAGGCCAAGGAGAACAATTTTTTCCCCTCCTTCTTGTAACACCCTTTTAGGTACTTGAAAGCTGCAATTATGTCCCCTCTCAGTCTTCTCTATTCTAAACTAAACAAGCCCAATTCTTTCAGTCTTCCCTCCTAGCTCATGTTTTCTAGGCCTTTAACCATTGTTGTTGCTCTTCTCTGGACCTTTTCCAATGTCTCCACATCTTTCTTGGAAGGTGGTGCCCTGAACTGGACACAAGACTCCAGCTGAGGCCTATTCCTGGGCATTCCAGAGGACGAATGGAATGCAAAATTAGTTATCTTAAAATATGTTTGACTTTGATATATATTTATGATTATTCAAAGGAGGGAGGAGTTAATATTAAGTATCATTTCCTAACAATGAGCTCTCATTGGTCCTTTTGTTGCTAAATATTCTATCCCCACCTCTGGAATACCAATGGTATGTCCAGAATCAAAGACGACTGTTTAACTTTGGGTCCCAATTTATTTCCTTCTGCTCTTTGGTGGCCACATTTGGAGATTAAAAACAAAAAAATCTTCTGACTTTTGCTGCACAGGTTTGCCAGCTGGAGCAGCAGAACAAGGCGCTTGAAACCAAATGGAGCCTCCTGCAGCAATGCGTTCCTCCAGTCCCCAGGAAAAACCTGGAGCCGTGCTTTGAGAATTACATCTGCAGCCTCAAGCAGCAGCTGGAGGCTTTGGTGCAGGACAAAGACCAACTGGCCGGTGAGGAGTCAGCCTCAAGGCAGCGGGTGGATGACTTGCAGTGCAAGTAAGAGATTTAGCCGTCACTTGCTTCTGTCTCACTTTACTGTGCACCTTGTGATCTCCATTAGCAGCAATGGACAGTGAAGAAAAAAAATTCCATTCTGATTCACCGCTGGACTGTTCCAGCCTTTAGCTGCAGGGCTGACCCTATCCATATGCAAACCCATAGCTGTGTAGCCACCCATGAAATTTGGGGCACCAAATTGCCCCAAATTCCATGGTGCTGTAGGTAGCTGCATTCCGCCTATGGCTCTGGCAGCTTCCATCCCCTGCCCGCCTGTGCAGACTCAGTGCTGGGGATCCGGCAACCCCTGGCCATCCCCAGGGGTTCCAGTGGCCCCCAGCGCCTTCTTCCATCTGCCCCCTCAGGCCTCAGCACCCACTCACCGAGCGGCATTTGTGGGGCCAGCGGATTCACGGAGCAGGGGGCAGCTGGAGAGAAGTGGTGTGAAAAGCACCGAATTTCTTTGGCTGGCTGTGCTCCTCCTGCTTCTCCTCCAGCCTGCGCCTCCCTCCTGGCCCTGCTCCCCCACTGCCAACTCTCTTGGACCGGGTGCTACTGCTGTAAATGGCCCCCGGTCCGGGAGAGTCGGCAACCCCTTTCCCACAGCTTCGCCCTTCCCCGGTGGGTGGGAAATGCTGCTGCACATCCCCGTCAGGATGGGCCCTGGGTAGCTGGCATCGCGCCATCAGCATTGGCGATGGCGAAACAAAGCCAGCACCACCGCCTGGCGGGCAGAGAAAACTCTTGTCCACGTGCCTCCTGGTGGCTGCTGGCTCTGACCACCGTGGGCCTGACCTGCGGCTGCCCCTTCTCTCGCCCCACAGATACGAAGAGGAAATCAGCTGGCGCACAGCGGCAGAGGCAGAATTCGTGGTGCTCAAGAAGGTGGGACACTTGGGTGGGCTAAACGAGTGAGCCTGGCACGGCACATAGAGGAAGCCTTGAAAATCGGGCTGTTCATGCTGGGGGAGCAGATGGGAACAGACTGTGGGCTTTGCCTCCGGCGCTGTCTTCTCAACGTTTGGGAAACCGGTGTCCTTTCTCCCTCAGGAGGTAGACTGCATCTTGCTGCACAACGGAGAGCTGGAGGCGAACGTGAGCTTATTGCGGCGGAAACTGGCGTTTCTGAGAGGCGTGTTCGAAGAGGTACGGACCCTCACCATGCCACTCACGGGGAAACGCAGTCCCCTGCTCCTTCCTGCAATCATGTTGCACAGAGGGCAAAGGACGACAGGCAGGAAGAACGCCCTAGCGAGAAACTCCACCTGGGTGACGGTTGCTGAGAAACATTTATCCGTCCTGAGTGTGGAATTCTGAAACCTATATAACATTACACCACAGGGCCCGGGTCTTCACCTTGGATCCATCTAGCGACAAACCAATTGGCCTGAGGAACAATGAAACCTCCCTCCCCCCCCAAACCGAGCAGAAATTTGGCACGTCCTACCCACCTGGGTGGCCTGCCTCTACTCGGAAGAGGAAAGAATTCTGTAGCGCTGTCGTGTGGTTCGATTTATTTTAGATCCCAGGGAAACCAGGACACTCCAGGGAGACTTACCCACTTTCTCATTTATTACAAGCGTTAAGCAGTTCACAAAGTTATTTCAATTTTACAAGCCTTAAAACCAATGACTTGACAATTTAAACCTTAAATACCATAAATTCTATAGCAATAAATACAGCTATAATTTTATATTGGTGTTTCATTGCAGGATTAGAAGTAGCTCAATGCAGAGAGTCCTTTGTTCTTCTGGGTGCGTCTACACAGCCCCCTAAACTCTACATAAGATGTGCAATTTGCGCTACCCAGATTGAGTACCTTATTTCAATCCTATTTCACAAGAGCATATTTCAGAAGTTGGCGCATCGATGCAGCACCAAATTTCAATTTCAATTCTATTTCAAAATAGCTTATTTTGAAATTTGGTGCATCTACAGAGTGCCAAATTTTGAAATAATGCACTATATCCAGACATCCCAATAACCCACGAGGAACGAGCTTTACAGGGATGCCGGAATAGTGCACCCATTATTTTGAAAAATATTTCAAATAATGGGCGGCTTGTTAAGATGGAGGGTAGATATTTTGAGATACCTCGGTATCCCAAAATAGCCTCGAGGTGTAGACATACCCTCCTTGAACACCTAGAGAGTGTGGAAAAGGGTGGGAATGAAACTGAAGACTTTCTGCAATTGCAGGAGAGAGCCCAGGTAGAGGGCCGGTTTCGCGATGCCGCCGTTGTGGTGAAAATGGACAACCGCAGGGACCTGGACATAGACTGCATCATCAAGAACGTTGACAGCTGGTATAAAGAGATTGCTCTGAAGAGCAAAGAAGAAGTTGACGCTTTGCACCATACCAGGGTGAGCGGTGAACGACACCGGTAGATCGTACGCTCTTAGATGACGCAGGTTAAATCTAACAATCAACTTCTGTCGGGCTGCCAGTTCCAGGAACTTCAGGACCAAAGGGACCGATTCCGTGAGGCGCTGGAGAGAAACAAGTGTGAGGTTGCCGAACTCACCCGGCTGACCCAGGTGCTGCAGGGTGAGACAGACCATGTAAAGAAACAGGTAGGGGTGATTTTGCTGTTTGGATTTTTACCAATGAACGTGCCAGCAATCTCGTTGAACACAGCATGGCTGGGCAGTAGGTTCCGGTTTGGAAGGACACCACTGTGTCTCTGGCATGAACCAAGACTTATCGGAAAGGTTGGAGTCCTCCCCATTTGAGGACAGCTATTTTATATCCAAGGGGCTCCCTGTCCGTGGGTCATTTTGGCGGGTGCAGATGGAAATTTTGTATCCACGCCGGGCTCCAGAGATGGTAGCTTGGTGCGAATGAATAAGGCCAACTGAAAAACCACTGCAAGTTGAAGTGCAGGGTGAACCTCTCTAGTCCGGCATGCTCTGGTCCGGCAACCTCTGTGGTCCGGCACCATTGGAGTGAGCCAGATGTCCACTTATCGTGGTTGTGGCCAAATTTCCAGTGACCCCATAAAGTTTGTTTACAGCCCCCCGTCCTGGCTCTGTTATTTCACTCTAACTTACCCCCCAATGTCTATCCTGAGCCAGGCAGCAGCGGTGTTGGTGATCCTGCTGGACAACATTGACCTCCTTGGGCTTGGCAAGTTCTCTGGTTTGGTCCCAAAGGTGCCAGACTGGAGAAATTCAACCTGTATTAGAGAAGGTCAGGTTGCCAACCCTTCAGGATTATCCTGGAGAGTCCAGGCATCGCAGATTAATATTTAATTGAAGATCACACTCTGTCATGAAGCCAGGTAGGTAGAGGCTCAGGGAAAATGCAGTGAGGGTCGAGGTAAGCAGGGTAGGGTCCCTGGGGAGTGGGCGGGCCCAGGTTCTCCGATTGGCTACAAGCAAACTAGTGGGCGGGTCCAGGTTCTCCTACTGGCTACAAGCAAACTAGTAGGCGGGTCCAGGTTCTCCTATTGGCTTCAAGCAAACTAGTGGGCGGGTCGAGGTTCTCCTATTGACTGCAAGCAAACTAGTGGGCGGGTCCAGGTTCTCCTATTGGCTACAAGCAAAGTAGTGGGCGGGCCCAGGTTGTCCTATTGGCTACAAGTAAGGTGTTCTCCACCCCACACAGAGGCTAGGACTGAGTTGGGAGCCAAAACAAAGGGCTGCATTTGAGGGGCTCAGAGTCAGGATGGAAGACTCTAGCAAGGACGAATAGATTATTGATGGGAGCGTGTAATACCCCGGGAGGGGTTCGTTTGGATTCGGTGACTTGCCTGGAGGACCAAGCTGCTGAAGTCCCACCAAGCTTGGCCTCCGGGGGGCACTGTGGGTAGAAATTGGACTGTGGTGCCCCATCGAGCCACTAAGAGACACGCAAGTGGGGCGTGCCCCTATTAGAACCCTACAGATATGCCGTCGCATAGCCGACCTCCTACCAAGTTGAGGATCTAGCCTCTGATAGTGTCGAATGTTTCACGTCTTTGAGGGAGGGGCCAAAATCGTGCCGTGTTGCTAAGCAACGTCATCCATCCTGCAACAGGTAGGCCTTATGTGAGACACGGGGAAAGCCTTGAAAGAAGGCCACGAAACAAGGAATATGGCTTCCAGCGTGGTAGGCTTCCTCAGCCAAGTTCTTTAAAGGGTGTTACAAGGATGATGGAGAAAAATTGTTCTCCTTGGCATCTGAGGACAGGACAAGAAGCAACGGGCTTCAATTGCAGCAAGGGAGGTTTAGGCTGGAAGTTAGAAAAAACTTCCTCACCGCCAGAGTGGTGAAACACTGGAATAAATTGCCCAGGGAGGTTGTGGAATCCCCATCTCTGGAGATATTTAAGAGCAGGTTGGACAGACATCTGGATCAGGGGTGGGAATCTAAGGCCCGGGGGCTGGCTTGCCTGGCTCTGGTGTGGGAGGGGAATGCAGGGAAGGTCTTTCTCCTTCTTAGGCAGGGGCCACGTCAGCGAGGGTTCCGTTTTTCTTCTCACTTTTGAGCGGCCCCTGCCTGACTTTTCTGTGGGTCCGTGGCCCCCAACCCGACGGTGCTGGGTCCTGCCGTGAGGGCAGGGGATGGGACTTGGTGGCCTCTCGAGGCCCCTCCCCGTTCTCGGATCCTTCTGAGTTTGGAACTTAACTGTGGGGTGGTTCGGCACAGTGGTGACACCACGGAAGCGGGCCAGCCACGGGTTCCGTTTTCTCCCGTGGCAGCTCGCCTGTCTGCAAGCAGCCATCGATGACGCAGAGCAGCGCGGCCACTGTGCCCTGACCGACGCGCGTGGCAAACACACGGAGCTGCAGAGCGCTCTCCGGAACGCCGAGGATGAGCTGGCCGGGATGCTGCGGGATTACCAGGCGCTGCTGAATGTCAAGCTGGCCCTGGATATCGAGATCACGACATACAAGACCCTGCTGGAAGGGGAAGAGAGCAGGTGGGTGGACAATGCCGTAAAGCTCGACGGTGGAGCGCTCCCTAAGCGAGCGTCCCGTGATGCGGATGGGGATCGCAAAGGAAATCCAAACGGGGAGAGGGCTCCATTGTACAAGAGACTCGCAACGGAGAGTATGAGCGAAACGTGGAGGTGGAGTGGGCTGGTTGGGAGGCCGAGAAGACGATACAATGGCCATTGAGATCCCAGCAGTAGATCTAGCCGACGGGGTAAGGGGCTCATCTTTCTTTTCTTTCCCCCACAGGATATGTTCGGGGACCCCCGTGAGCGTATGTAAGTAATCTGAAGACTCGCAATTGGACTAGTCCAGATCTCTGTGACCACGCCAGCCTTCCACTCAACCTGTGCTTTCTTGCAGCGATGGTGACCAACTCCTCCAACCTCGCCGGAGACTGTGGGCCAGTGCCCGGAGGCGCAAGCGGAGGTGGCTACAGCTCTGGGTATAGATACGATTCGCTAGGGCGGGGGTTCAGCTCCCAAAGCTTAGGAGTCGGCCCCAGACGGGCGGTCAGCGTCGCAGGCCACCAAAGCATCCCTGAAGGTGCCGACAGTCGTCCCCCTGGAGGATTCAGCTCTAGAAGCGGGAGCTGCATATCCAGAAGCGTGGTCACCTCGGTGTGTAGCCACCACCTCCCGGGAGGTGCACAATGGGGTCCACCCGAAGGCGTCGTCCCTGACGATAGCAGTTACAGTTCTAAGGTTGTCACCGGCTCGGGAAGCCAATGGCAGGTCTCCGGAGGCGCTGCCTGCTGCCCGGGTGGAGGCTACAACGTCACCAATGGATATCCTGGAAATGGTGTTTACACCTTTGAAACCGGAGGATTTATCATCCAATGTTTAGGCAACTCCCCGGCCGGAGGACCCAGCACTGGCATTGTGGGTACCTCAGGCGCCGGGGCAGGCCACCCTGGAGTTCCAGGAAGTTGTGAAGTAGTGAAAGAAACCTACATAACCAGGAATATCCCAGTACAAAGCCACCCTGTCCAAAGTAGTCTGCAGTAAATTCTCACCGCCACACAAATTGCAAAATCCCTGTCCGACTGGAAGCATCCATTAGGCTGGGAGTGATGTCTCATGGGAGTTACATTTTCAGTAGTCTCCTCGTTGTGAATGTGCATTTGTTAGAAGCCTTACTAAAGTCATGTCTCCTTGGAGGATCGACTCTCTGGCGATCCATCTTCCGGGGGTTGATTTAGAGGGTCTAGTAAAGACCCACTAAATCAAACGCTGAGGGCACCCCTGTTGGCGCTGGTACTCCTCACTCTTCTGAGGAGTAAGGGAAGTCAACGGGAGCATTTCTCCCACCAACGTAGCTGGAGTGGCATATCGTAAGCTGACCTTATGGGTGTAGCATAGACCTGGTGTAGCCGGTATTCACTGGCGTATCTCACCCTTCAGTTCATAGTGTCTTTGTATTTCAATGATTCACCACCTTTAGGCATTTTCTGTGCTGCAGAACGGCCCTCCCATGAGCTCGTTAATTGCGTTGCCCTCTCTCTGGGTTTTCTCACAACTGGCGGCTTGATGAACCATGCGACTTGTACATGGAAACATGCTCTTCCTACAGCATCTTCAAAAAGTAATTCAGAACATAGAGCAGTGATCTAGTGCTCCCAGAGGGTGCTGAAAAGAGAGTCTCTCTCTCTCTGTAAGATGTAGAACTTCATTTTGAGAGCTCTTAAAGAAACGTTTTCCAACGCAGGTATGTCCATTTTGAATAAAAGGAATTTCCGTTTCCAAAGCATATTCTGTTTACACTTAAAGAACAGGAGTCCTAGAGCCCCTTAGCAACCAACAAAAATAAATAGTATCATGAATTTTGTAGCTTGCTTGCAATTAAGTACATGTTGTACAGGCCGTTCTCGCTAGGAGTCCAAGAGATGTTCCAAAAATCTTGGACTTATAGCGAAACAACTTAAAGCGGGCTTGGTTTTCAAAAACCTTCTGCATTCACACTAGGCTTGAATAATTGATTTTTCAGTTCAGCGTCTGAAGCAAAAAATCAGACTAAAAAAGGTTTCCAATAACCAATTTATTTTTTGTTTCTCACCAACACGGAAAATGGAAAATGTTTCATTCGAGTCGAAACAAAACATTTTGTGGGTCAAATTTAAACGATGTTTTCTAGAGAAACCATGGAATCCGACTGATGTTTTCTAAGCAGGATGTGGAATCAAAATGACACTCTCGAATCAATGCGTTTTGATTTTTTCCTAACTGAATTACTACCATCTTTCTGATATTTTTGCTTGAAATTATTTTTAGCAAAGACTGTTTGCCAGATTCAACCTAAATTCCTGTATAGTTCTGGTATCTTGAAAGAATACATTTTTCATCCAGTTTTATCTTTGTCATAAAAACATAAGAACATAAAAACGGCCGTACTGGGTCAGACCAAAGGTCCATCTAGCCCAGTAGCCTGTCTGCCGACAGTGGACAGCGCCGGGTGCCCCAGAGGGGGTGGACCAAAGACAATGATCAAGCGATTTGTCTCCTGCCATCCATCTCCAGCCTCTGACAAACAGAGGCCAGGGACACCATTTCTATCCCCTGGCTAATAGCCTGTCATTCCCCCCCACCCAAGTTTTACTCAGCACTCGTGACTCCAAATGAAATCTCTGAATGCGTTTGGTGTTTAGGATCTTTGAGAGCGATCTCCAGTTGTATTTGTATCAAACTGTAGTGAGGCTACCTTAGCCTTTGCTGATTGTCAAAAATTCTCCATTTCCCATTTGGCCTTCAATAAACGACCGGGACAATCCATGTTTTGTGTCTGAGTTTTTAATCAACATTTCATGAGATTACAAGGTAGACTAAGTATGTCTCATTCCCATATTGTATTCTGATGCGTGGGCGTTTTATGCAGCTTTGAGGAACGTTTGTTCAGTAGAATTCATACCGAAAGAGCAGGCTGCGGCTTTAATCCACTTTAGACAACCCGGTGAGTGATGGAAGTCCTTAAACTCAAGCAGAATCATAAAATCATAGGACCCTACAACAAGAAGGGACCTCAAGAGATATCAAGTCCAGTCCCCTGCCTTCATGGCAGGACCCAGCACCATCTAGAGCAGGGCTACTCAACTTCGGAAGCCCCGGGGGCCACCGTGATACTCCCAGCACATGCCGAGGGCTGCCACTTAAGCGTGGTTGCATCGACATGCAAATATATATGCAAATATATGCAAATAGCTTCTTTCACACTGACAGGCATGAATACAAAAATTAAGGCAAGACTACACAACACGCAGGCCCCATTTAAGTCAGCTCTTGTGATATTAATAAAATGCAATATTTACCCGATTTCTACCCATATGACAGCCCTTTTAATGAGCAATGACAGTCCAGGAATTTAACTACTAAACGAATATCATCAGAAGGCCCTTCTATTGACGACTTTTTTGTTTTGGCTTCACAACAGTCCAGGAATTTAACTACTAAAACACATATCAACCCAAACTGCACCGTAAACTGCAAACAAATGGGCCGCTGATCTAGACCATCCCTGACAGGTGTCTGTCCAACCTGCTCTTAAATATCTCCAGGGATGGAGATTCCACAGCCCCCCTGGGCAATTTATTCCAGTGTTTCACCACCTGACAGGTAGGAAGTTTTTCTTAATGTCCAACCTCAACCTCCCTTGCTGCAGTTTAAGCCCATTGCTTCTTGTTCTATCCTCAGAGGCCAGGAAGAACAAATTTTCTCCCTCCTCCTTGTGACACCCTTTTAGACACTTGAAAACTGCGATCATGCCCCCTCTCAGGCTTCTCTTTTCTAAACTAAACAAGCCCAATTCTTTCAGTCTTCCCTCCTCAGTCACGTCAATTGAGGCCTACGCAGTGCACAATAGAGCAGAGGAATTACTCCTTATGTCTTGCTCACATCACTCCTGTTAATGTAGCCCGGAATCAGTTGGCTTTTTTTGCAAGTGTCCTACTGTTGACTCATATGTAATTTGTGGTTCACTCTGACCCCCTAGATCCCTCTCTGCAGTGATCTAAACAATGCTGCAGTATTTAGGCTTTTATACAGCCCCCACCTTCAAGGTACCAGAATGCCTGAGATGTACCACAAGGTGCTCTGTGTCACATTAAAGACTAACAAATTTGTTAGGGCAGAAACTGCAGCCCTGAAAACTCATGCCCTAACAAATTTGCTAGTCTTTAAGGTGCCACCAGATTCCTTGTTGTTTTAGCTGAAATAGACTCACACAGCTCCCCCTCTGAAATTTACCTGAGTGAAATGCTCCTGGCTAGTAGAGTTTGTGTGACTATAAATGCTTATTTTGGTCCCGTCTCCATGATCCTGGAGTATCTAGCAAATAGCATTTCTGAATTTCAACTTGGGTCAAAGGGAGTACTGCAAGGGTTAGGAGAAAATGGGATGCATGTCTCAATGGGTTAAAAATACCTCACGTCAAAACAAAAAAATCACCCCAACCCCCCGGAAATTGCAAATTCATCCACAAAGACAGAATGTGTCTTGTTTGTGTCAGCTCCGTCCATCAAGAACTCAGGGATTAAGGGCAAAGAGACAGAAGTGGGAGGAAAAGGAAGACAGGTGTCTACATTTACACTGGCGTTTTCTTGCACAAGAACTGTTTTGCAGAAGAGTTCTTGCACAAAAAGTCTTCCTCAAGATCGCGTCTACACTGCCATGTGCTTTTGTGCAAGAACATCTATGGCGGTGTGGACGCTCTCTTGCGCAAGAAAGCTCTGATGGCCATTTTAGCCATTGGGGTTTCTTGCGCAAGAAATTCATGTTGCCTGTCTACACTGGCCTCTTGCGCAAGAGGCAAGGCCTAGGACAGAACAGAGAATCAACCCCCCCCCCCACTGGCACATGGAAAACTCGGTGCCGATGCTGCACTGCGGGTTAAATTGGTGCAGAATGACCATTGCGGGCAGAAGGAGCTGGCGTGGACACACAACACTGATTTAATTACTGTGGAGCTGAACAACGATGTCACTTAAATCAACTTGATTTTCTCATGTAGACCTGCCCTCAGCTGCAACCTCGTGCTGGCGAATACTCGGGGTGCCCCACGTTCTGGGTGTGCTGGGAAACGCCAACGGCGGGAGGTGGGCATTGCACAGATGGGAAACTGAGGCACAGAGCTCACCCAGGAAGTTGGTGGGAGAGCTGGGATTTGAGGTCTCTGAAGTCCTATGCTACTTGCCCTAACCACAGAGCCTTCCTCCCATGCTTTACAACAGCGGTTCCCAAACTTTTCAGTATCACACTCCCTTTGTGATTTTTGAAAAACCCTCACGCCCCTCCCCCAAACAGCAAAAAGAAAAGGAACTGACCGGGGTAGCAAAACTTGATGGGGGGAGGGGGAGCTAGGTTGCCTCGCACCCCCCCTGGAATTTCTTCACACCCCCTTGCTGTACAAGGAACACAATCCCTACCTTAAGTGAATCGGTGCATCCATCCTTAATACAGAGTCACAACCATATGTCCTCAAATTGCGGCTAAGTGGTTAGAACGCTCGCGTTGGTCCAACCAAAAAGGTGTTACCCCGTCTCCCTTGTCTCTCCAAGGCGTGAAACTGACATTCCAGGTTCTCTAGGACAGCTGACGGCAGGGAGAACAGTAAATATTCCTACAGACTCACGTGACGGCACCCCGACGCCGAAATGCAGGATTGGCCCTTCGCAGCTGGGATAGGAGTCGGGAGTGCCGTAAAGTGAAGCAGGCATTGTTACGTGGTTTCCAACTTTTTTTTCCCAACAGATAAAACCTAAAACATTTCAAACGGAGGTGCCCACCCCTTGTGGCAACCTTTTGTGGACCTCTTAGATGTAGTCTGCAGGGTTCCGTGGACCACAGGTTGAAACCCACGGAATGAAGCAGACACACCTAGGCTACGTCTACACTGGCATGAATTTCCGGAAATGCTTGAAACGGAACAGTTTTCCGTTATAAGTATTTCCTACGTGGGCTAGGTAGTGCACTGAGTTCAGCGTGCTTTACAAGTCACGCATCTCTAGTGTGCCTTCCCACGTCACGTAGACAAGCCCTAGAAGGAGGACAGTTTAGGATAGCCTTTTCCCCTTTTCATTCAGCAGGGCTGTATCTACACTGGGCCACTTATTCTGGAAAATCAGCCGCTTTTCCGGAATAATTTGCCAGCTGTCTACACTGGCCCCTTGAATTTCCAGAAAAGCACTGACGATCTACTGTAAGAAATCAAAAGCGACGAGGAGTCCTGTGGCACCTTATAGACTAACTGAAGTGTAGGAGCATAAGCTTTCGTGGGACATGCATCTGACGAAGTGGGTCTTTGTCCACAAAAGCTTATGCTCCTACACTTCAGTTAGTCTATAAGGTGCCACAGGACTCCTCGTCGCTTTTGATTTCTTACAGTAGATCGTCAGTGCTTTTCTGGAAATTCAAGGGGCCAGTGTAGACAGCTGGCAAATTATTCCGGAAAAGCGGCTGATTTTCCAGAATAAGTGGCCCAGTGTAGATACAGCCCTGCTGAATGAAAAGGGGAAAAGGCTATCCTAAACTGTCCTCCTTCTAGGGCTTGTCTACGTGACGTGGGAAGGCACACTAGAGATGCGTGACTTGTAAAGCACGCTGAACTCAGTGCACTACCTAGCCCACGTAGACCCTGCTGATGGGCGCTAAAAGTTCCCTCGTGCGACACTAAGTTACTATAGTGCACGAGAGAACTTTTGTGCATGCTCGCAGGGTGTACGCTGGTTAGTTAGTGTGCAGCACATTGGTGTGTTTTTGAATTCATGCCTGTGTAGTGTGCATGGCCGTGCCATGTAGATCCCTTAGCAGTGATTCCCAAACTTTTCAGCATCACGACCCCTTTTTGATTTTTGAGAAACACTCAGCCCGCCCCCCCAATAGCAGCAAAACTTGTTGAGCAAAAAAAGGAACTGGCTGGGGCCAAAAACCAAAAATAGCAGCACAACTTGGGGGGAAGGAATTGATGGGGGGAGGCTGGGTTGCCTCGCACCCCCCTGGAATTTCTTCATGTCCCCCAGTTTGGGAACCCATGCCTTAGAGGGTGGGAGAGAACAGTGTTTGTTACCAGAAAAAGACAGAAGATGCTTCTGTTTCAAAGCAAGGGTGGTACCGGTCTTAACCAATGGGCTCAATTCTAGTTTCAAAGTCATCACCCAAAGGAATCTGGCAATGATTACAGCAAACCAAGCAGGAAACAAAATGCCCTGTATCTTCCCCCTATTATTACCCATGTGTGAATCCGCTTTGAAAGGTGTGATAACAAACGCAAAGAAACTTTATGAGGCAAATTTCAAGCTATTCATTAAGTTTGTATCAGAAGATCTAAGACATCGGAGAACATCTAATTAACTGAATGGGGCCGTACATATTACAACTGGATGGGATAGGAAGCTTTTTTTGTTTGTTTTTGGTCCAGCAAAAAATGTAAAGACATCTAAAAATCCTGGCCCAAATGCAGATGAAACGTCAAACTCTCAATTCTTATTTTTTTTTTTGAGAGCTGAAAAGCCTAAAATTTTGTTGGTTGTGGTTCATTGAAAACCATTTTGTTTTGATCATTCGAAAAAAGGTCTCATTTTGCTTTCAGGCAGGTTTTCATGCATCACTTCATTTCTCTTACTATAGTCCAGTGTTTCTCAACCAGTGGTATGGGTACCTGAGGGGTACTCGAGAGAAGTCGGTGGGGTGCGTCAACACAACTGAAATCTGGAGAAAACAGAATTTTTGTTTTAAGTTTTAGTGTTTTATTATTTTTGTACTTTTTACACACACAAATTTCATCACCCGCTCGGCTACGATTAAGTTGTTTAAACAAATGTGTTGCAATAGTAGAAAAAAATTGTGTGTCTGAAAACGGTAGGTACTGGGGGTACTTATAATCTTGTTTAAAAAAAGGGGTCCTTTATAAAAAAAAAGGTTGAGAAACAAGTTAACTTAGAAACGAACAAGTCGGGGAATCGGAATTCAGGGCTGCCCCTGCCTGGCATTGTTGACACGATTGACCGACACAACGGCATCGTCTTCCACCACGAATTGTTCTGACACTTCAATTAAGAAACCTTCATTAGGCCACAGTCCCTGGCAGCTCAGTTCTTCCATCTCTGAAACCTCCCTGCATTGGTTACCCCTGCTGTTCCTGAATTCTCTGCTAGTGCTTAGTTTTCTCTGGGCATCATAGAATCCTAGAGCACTAGAACTGGAAGGGACCTTCAGAGGTCATCGAGTCCAGTCCCCTGCCCTCACGGCAGGACCAAACACCATCTAGATCATCCCTGATAGGTGTCTGTCCAACCTGCTCTTAGATATCTCCAGAGATGGAGATTCCACAACCTCCCTAGGCAACTTATTCCAGTGTTTAACCACCCGGATAGGTGGGAAGTTTTTCCTAATGTCCAACCTAAACCTTCCTTGTTGCAGTTTAAGCCCATTGCTTCGTGTCCTGTTCTCAGACGCCAAATTAAATGAATAGGCAGCAGGTTTAAAACAAATGAATGGAAGTTTTTCTTCACGCAGCGCACAGTTAACCTGTGGAACTCCTTGCCAGAGGATGCGGTGAAGGCTAGGACTTTAACAGGGTTCAAAAAAGAGCTAGATAGATTCACGGAGGTGAGGTCCATCAATGGCTATTAGGCTGGGTAGGAATGGTGTCCCTCTGGAGGTGGGAAACAGGGGAGGGATCATGTGGGGATTCCCTGTTGTGTTCTCTCCTTCTGGGGCATCTGGTATTGGCCACTGTTGGCAGACAGGACACTGAGCTGGATGGACCCCATGTGGCCACTTTTATATTCTAAAAAAAATTGATTCTACCAAGGCTAAATATGAGTCATGAGAGACCTCTGCTCACAGGGAGTTGTGTTCTAAGACCTTGTTTACACGGAAAAATAAGGTTGAATTTATTAAGGTCAATTTTCTCACATCCGATTTCGTAACTTCGAAGGTGCGTTCCCCATCGTGCGCAACGCTTCGCCGTAGTGCGTCCCTGGTAGGATGCCTACCGTCGACTTGAACGTCGACTTGAATCACTATGCATTGTGGGTAGCTAGCCCACAGTTCCTGCCTCCCCTTTGCATTCTGGGTTAAACTCCCTGTGCCTGATGGGACCAAAACAGTGACGCGGATGCACTACCTGTGCAAGGTCGAATTTATCGTTACTCCTCGTGAAAAGCAGGTGTACTGAAATTGACTTGGTGGCATGGACAACCAACCATGGTCATAGAATCATAGAATACTAGGACTGGAAGGGACCTCGAGAGGTCATCAAGTCCAGTCCCCTGCCCTCATGGCAGGACCCAGTACTGTCTAGACCATCCCTGATAGACATTTATCTAACCTGCTCTTAAATATCTCCAGAGATGGGGATTCCACAACCTCCCTGAGCAATTTATTCCAGTGTTTGACCACCCTGACAGTTAGGAACTTTTTCCTAATGTTCAACTTAAACCTCCCTTGCTGCAGTTTAAGCCCATTGCTGCTTGTTCTATCCTCAGAGGCCAAGATGAACAAGTTTTCTCCCTCTTCCTTATGACACCCTTTTAGATACCTGAAAACTGCTATCACGTCCCCCTTCAGTCTTCTCTTTTTTTAAACTAAACAAACCCAATTCCTTCAGTCTTCCGTCATGTTCGATCTAAACTCCTAGTGTAGACCAGGCCTGAATGAAGCCTCTTACCTCTTTATGTCTACGTCAATGGCATGAAACAGCTCGTTAGAGATAAAGCCAAAAGATGTTTTAGGTTCAAAACAAGGATGGTGTAATTTACAAATAGCACTCCGTCTGTTTTCATAGTCAACACCCAAGAGTCCTTTGCAAACATTATGATGCCAAAACTCTGGTAGAAAAACAAAGGTGTTTCTGAATTTTTCCCTTTCAAGTTACTGACATGAGCTTCAGCTATTGAGGAATTCCCGGGATTGTAATTACATACAATACTTTTGATGTTAGTTTCACATGGCTGATTAAATTTGTATAACAAGATCTACAGGACTGGAAACATAATTACATTATCTCGACAGGATGAATAAACATTCTGAGCATGTTTTTTCCCCTTAATAATATGTCTTTGTGACCTACACACCCATCGACATGGTAAGAAAATTCAAAGTCCCTTTAAGGATTTTAATTGAATGACACAAACCCTCTCATTAAAGAAATTACAATGAATGTCAAATGGGTGTGCCATACAGAGCAGAGCGAGGGAAAAATTAGTTTCAGATAGAATTTTAAACTTTAAACTGTCCATTCCGGTTAGTTTATTGAGCTTCTCCAGTAATTACTTGCTTGACTCCAAGAGGAGTGCCAGCCAAAAATGACACATAGATGTTGAGAATAGCAAGACACAATTTCTCCCGGAGAACTGCTGCCCATATGTTCAATTGGACTATACATGCTTGGCTATGTATGCCCAAGAATTATTCACACATGATCTGTGTTGCATATCTAGAGGTGTAAGACCGTGTGGGCTTATAACAATCCATTCAGTATCCCATGCTATGCTATGCTATCCATGGGACACCCACATCTGGAATATTGCGTACAGATGTAGTTGCCTCATCTCAAAAAAAGATCTCTTAGCACTGGATAAGGTTCAGAAAAGGGCAATAAAAATTCGGAGGGGTTTGGAATGGTTCCCATATGAAGAGAGATTAAAAAGACTGGCACTTTTCAGCATAGAAAAGAGAAGATTAAGGTGGTGGTGGGGGGGGATATGATAGAGGTCTATAAAACCGCAACACATGTGGAGAAAGTGAATAAGGAAACGTTATTTCCTTGTTCCCATAACAGAAGGACTAGGGGTCACCTAATGAAATGAATAGGTTTGAAACAAACAAAAGGAAATTTTTCTTCACGCAGCACACTGTCAACCTGTGGAACTCCTTGCCAGAGGAAGTTGTGAAGACCAGGACTTTAACAGGGTACAGAAAAGAACTGGATACATTCATGGAGGACAGGTCCAATGATGACTATTAGTTAGGCTGGGCAGGAATGATGTTCCTACCCTCTGTTTGTCAGAGGCTGGAAATGGGTGACGGATCACTGGATGATTCCCTGCTCCGTTCACTCCCTCTGGGGCACCTGGCGTTGGCCACTGTGGGAAAACAGGACACTGGGCTAGATGGACCTTTGGTCTGACCCAGAATGGCCGTTCTTACGTTTCGTGACATGCATGTCTTCCTTCTCCCATGAGCCGATCACTGGCGTGTGCCTATTAGCAGAATCCAGCTGCTTGAAAGATCCCAAAAAAATGGACCAACACCACAGCCCAGAACTCTGCTGTGGTCACCCTTGCGGTGCATCCAGCCCGATAGGGAGGTGGTCCCTGTGCAGGGCTCCCAGGCACTATGAAAACCACTCACAAGAAGAACCTCCCGCCGCGGGTCCTCTTCTATAATTAAACAAATAAAACGGTGGTGAAACGCTGGAGTCTGTGGAGGTGTTTGGCTAAACTTATAATTAGACTTTTAAGGAAGCAGATTAATTAATTAAACTATAAACCCTGAAAGGGAAGCTTGCAAGCCAAGCATATATTTTAATTCCACCTTATTTCATGTGTAATAGAGCGTTTGTGCCGTTTGGCCTCTTTGAAAGCCATTTCTTGCTGGCAGGCAGGCCAAACCCACGGCATGTAGCTTAGCTTTACGCATCCCATGCTGCTCCTCAAACCTATATAAGGGGACGTCTCTGGACTCGATTCAGAGGAAAGCTCTTTCCTTTCCCCTCTTCTCCTGCTCTGCTGCTGGGCTGATCCGGCTTCCTCCTCGCCTCCAACAAGCCGCCATGAACCGCATGTGCTTCTCAGCTGGGTCCCTGGGTGGCCGAAGATGCTTCTCTTCGGCGTCGGCGATTTGCAGCCTCGGTGGAGGCCGAGCCAGTGTTGGTGCTGGGCCGTGGCCTGCAGGAAGACGTGAAAACGGTGGCTTTAGCAGCACAAGTGTCTTTGAGCTGGGGAGAAGCCAAAGGATTTCCTGCGGTGGAGGCTATGGGATTGGGCCCTGCGGCCCGTACGGCGCTGGGGGGTATGGTTATGGGGCAGGCCACGGCAGCGGAGGGGGCTTTGCTTATGGGAGCTGTGTGGGCTCCGGCCGTGGAGGTTATCGCGGTCCCTGTGGCTTCGGTGGGTATTCGCCCTACCACTTCGGGAGCAGCGTGCATTACGGGGTCGGGCACGCCGGCGCTGGAGGCGCCCACCGAGCCGACGGCATTCAAGGCGTGTGCATCCACCCAGAGCTGCTGAAGCCCCTCTCCGTGGGGGTGGACCCAGAAGAGCACAAAGTGCGAACCCACGAGAAGGAGCAGATCAAATGTCTCAACGATCAATTCGCCTGCTTCATCGACAAGGTGAGAGTACAAAGCGCCTTTCTCTTCTCCTGGAGCTAACCCTCCCACCCCCCCGCAGACCAAGACCCAAGCTTCCCCAGAGGCCAGAGCTGTCTGTCTTTAGTATGTTGGGCCTGGCCACTGACGGCCCATGTGGTGTAGGAGACGTTGATATTGGCTTGGTAGCTTAAATGGCTTGATATTCCTTTGCTCCCTGGATAGAAGGCTAACTGGGAAGCCATAGCATCTCTTCATGTCCATTTGAAATGAATAGGCAGCAGGTTTAAAACAAACCGAAGGAAGTGTTTCTTCACACAACATGCAGTCAACCTGTGGAACTCCTTGCCGGAGGATTCTGTGAAGTCCCAGACTATAACAGGGTTCAAAAAAGAACTAGATACATCCATGGAGGTTAGGTCCGTCAATGGTTAGTCAGGATGGGCCAGGATGGTGTTCCTGGCCTCTGCTTGTCAGGGGTGACGGGACAGATCACTTCATGATTCCCTGTTCTGTTCACTCCCTCTGGGGCACCTGCCATTGAGTACTGTTGGCAGAAGGACCCCGGGCCGGATGAACCTTTGGGCTGACCCCATCTGGCCGCTCTTAGGTTCTTATGCTCTTATATTTCCGTGCGCTACAATATGCAGAAATACACAGAGATGTAACCGAGCAAAGCGGTCCTTGCTCAACAGCTGCGAATCTCATTCTCTGATCGCTGATTTCACAGCCTTATTCTGAGGTTCGGGTGCATGGCAAATCTCTCAGCTGTTGTTGCTGAGATGGCTAAAATCCGCTTCCTGAAAGGAACAATGGCGACACCCAAAAAGGGATTTCTGCCTTTTGGCTTTTCTGTGGCATTGGGCATTCCAGGACGAGGTGGCTGTGCTTGTCAGCTTCTTTTTTATTCCCCCACTATGACCTCTCCCCGGGGCTGTTTTCTGGAGCACTTTTTGAATGACTCAGTGAAGAGTAAGAGACGCTGCTTTGTTCCTGGGAACTCAAGAGGCGACTTGACCAGAGTTTATGAACCTTTTCACCAGGTGGAAACAATCTCGCGGAGAAAGGCAGAACTAGAGCAGAGGGCTGGAAGCAGCCAGCTGGCAAAGGGAAATTAGAACTAAGGCACCGGTGTTTAACCGTGTTCGCCATTGGAGCCAGCTGCCATGGGAAAGGCTGGATTCTCCAACTCTTGGGGTATGTCTAAACTACATGGCTCCGTCGACAGACCCTTGATGTCTCTAAATCAAGACCAGGAGCCTTTTTGGAAGATGCATCTTAGGGACAAATTCTGAGCTCCAGAGAGGGGTAAATGAATTATAGACTCATAGAGCTGGAAGAGCCCTCAGGAGTCAGCAAGTCCAGCCCCCTGCCCAAGGCAGGACCAATCCAACTCAATCAACCCAGCCAGGGCTGTGTCAAGCCGAGACTTAAACACCTCTAGGGATGGAGACTTCACCCCCTCCCTAGGGAACCCAGCCCAGGGCTTCCCCCCCTTCTAGGGAAATCGTTTTTCCTAATCTCCAACCTAGACCTCCCCCACTGCAACTTGAGCCACTGAGAACAGCCTCTCTCCAGCCTCTTTGGAACCCCCTGCAGGGAGTTGCAGGCTGCTCCCAAATCCCCCCTCCCTCTTCTCTTCTGCAGACTAAACAAGCCCAAATCCCTCAGCCTCTCCTCGTCGGTCATGTGCTCCAGCCCCCGAATCATTTTGGTCACCCTGCACTGGCCCCTCTCCAGTGCACCCACATCCGATCTGTAGTGGGGGACCCAGAACTGGACACAACACTCCAGATGTGACCTCACCAGAGCCGAATAAAAGGGAATAAATGGGTGAAATTCTCTGACCCGTGTTTTACGGCAGGTCAGATTGGAGGTTTTATTGGTCCACTTTGGGTTTCAAATCCATGAGCTTCTCCTATGGACAGTTTTTTGGAGCATTTCTCATGGAGGTGGATTCGCTAAGCCGACATACGATCGCTAGCGGTCTCTTCACTGCCGCCTACAGTCACACGGCTGCATCGGTGGAGACCTGCCCCAAATTAACACATTTCTGGGGTCATCTTCCACCCCGAGAGCGACGGAAAGTTGCCAGAGGCCTACGGTTCGTAAAGAAGCAGCAGCAGCAAAGCAAAAGGAAGTCTCGGATGGCAGGTTCTTAGGGGTTAACGCAATATCGCCCGCTTGGCTTTCAGGTCCGATGCCTTGAGCAGCAGAACAAGGTGCTGGCAACCAAATGGGAACTCCTGCAGCGGCATGCCGTGCCCCCCAGGCGAGACCTGGTGCCTATTTTTGAGAATTACATCTGCCAGCTGAAGAAACATCTGGAAGGTTTGGTGCACGAGCGGGCGCGGCTGGAGGAGGAAGAGAAGACAGTTCAAGATGCGGTCCACGAGTACAAATGCAAGTGAGTGCGACAGGGAAGTGCCCGGAAACGGGACCCTGCGGCGAAAGGCGCCGTAGCGCGTGTGGGAAGCGAGCCGGGAGAGCGATTCGCAGGCGTTTGAGTCAGCAACACATAAACCAACCTGCTCTTAAATATCTCCAGAGATGGAGATTCCACAACCCCCCTAGGCAATTTATTCCAGGCTACGTCTACACAGGCATGATTTTCCGAAAATGCTTTTAACGGAAAAGATTTCCGCTAAAAGCATTTTCGGAAAAGCGCGTCTTGATTGGCAGGGGGGCTTTT